GAATGTGACAGTTGAGGTGAAGACTCTCCCTCACCACTCTCTCCACTCCGGGAGTTGTGTAGGTCAGGTGACAAGGCAGCTGCTCCTCAGGCTGTAGAAGAGTTTTGGTCATTTATTTAATTTGTAAAAAAAAACAACATGAATTCAGCTTCGACTCTTTAAGACCGTGTAGGCTCAGTGCAGGCTGCAGAAGGCTCTGACTCGTGTGTTAAAGCTGAGCCGATCGACCACAACTTCAGTAACTCTTGTGTCACTGGGATGTCTTTTTGAAGCCAATTTAAAAATGGATTCAAGGCAGCAGCGTAAAAACATGTCATAATGAATAAGAACAGGTGGGTGACCATGAGGAGTGCATCCCCTTGGGGGCGCCAGAGCACTTTCTTGACATGTGAAACTAGCAAAAAAGAGGAGAAAAAAAGGCGATGGGTGAGTTAGCTAATTTTTGTAAGATGGAAATTTTAGTAATTTTTAGGAAATTAAATGTTATTATACGTGTAATTATCAACAGGTTTAGACTTTATTTGGTGACTGTTGTGTAACTGGTTAATATCTGTTTTTTTCCCCCCTCTTGTGATCCTGGTCATGTTGTTTGTGACAGTATGCATCTCAGCTACAAACATTTGAAACACCAAACTATCCCTGAAGAAGGACCTATGGCAGCATTTCTGAAATGAAGGTATACTGAAGGAAAAAGGCTCAAATTAAAACATCAACTGTCATCATTGTAACACGTGGACATCCTAAAAGACAGAATAACACAGAGAACAAACAATAATAAGTCACGTTCACTTTACCTTGCAGCGTACGTGCTTGTTGAGGAAGCTGAACGGCGTCGGATGAGCGTCAGGAGGATGAAGTTTCGCCTGGCTAAAATCTATTGAATCCTTGACGATCCTGGGAGGAGTGCCAGTTCTCAGTCTGCCCACCCTTAGTCCTAGCCTCTCCTTCAAAGTATAGGACAGACCGGCACTAGATGGGGCATCTCCAATTCGACCTCCAGGGGACGTAGTTTGGCCCACAAAAAGGGCACCAGACAAAAAAGTACCAGTGGTAAGAATTACCGAACTCGCTGTAATGGGCTGGGCTTCATGTGCTGGGGAGAAGAGAGAAGAGCAACGGAATTAAAAAGTGATTTTAAAAATGATGGAGATGTAACTTGATGTGGTGAAGGTTTATATTAAATTAAAAGTGTTTATTTTTTAAATGTGAGCTAAATACAGCCTGTGTTTTTTAACAGGTCAACAGTGACATGTCACTGTGTGTTCGGCTCGCTACCCAGTCGTATTCCTGTAATTCTGTGACGACCCGGCACATCTGGGTCAGGTTCTGCGACCAGCAGTTCCTCCACTGACCCTTCGCGTACGGTCAACCTCGGAGTGGACAGCAGCTCTGACTGACAGCAGACAGACGTTTTGATTAACAGGTGAATATGACGAATTATTCAACACGAGTCACTTCAGCTCTTTATTTAAAATTCAGGTGATACCTGAATTTTTTCACGGTAGTACTGGCGGTCCAGCTGAGCCCGTGGACCCCACACAGCAGGACCTTTTTTCCGATTCAGGATGGAGAAATGGATCCCAGCCCAGTCTCCTGCTCGACCACAGAGCCCATCGAGAGCATCGATCTCCTTCACAAGATGGCCTTTCCCCACCCCACCCAGAGATGGGTTACAAGACAAAGCCCCTGTGGAGGATGGTCACAGAAAAAAAAATGTATATACCTGTGAAAACTGTCCACAACAGAAAGCTTTTGGAAAGAGCTGAGTTTCAAAGAGCTGTGCCTTATTTTATCACCGCATTTTCCGGACTACAAGTCGCACCAGCCAAAAAATGCATAATGAAGAAGAAAAGAAAAAAAAACCATAACAAACAACACAGAGCTAGAGTGCCCTCTAGCGGCTCTCAGTGTGAAAGTAACAAACATGTACATTTTCAGTGGTACAGGAGTAGCAGATACTGGTACACGAGCCTAGAGTGCCCTCTAGCGGCTGTCAGTGTGAAAGTAACACACGAACATGTGAGATTATATATTTTAATATACACTGTAAGTCGCACCCGAGTATAAGTCGCAAACCTAGCCAAGGGATGGAAAAAAGTGTGACATTTTGACTCCAGAAAATACTGTATTTATTAATAAATAAATCCCTTTATATGACCTACAAAAGAATTATTTAACCGATTTGAATGCACGGTCAAAAAAAAGTAAGTGATATTCTACATTGTTGCCTTTGAAAACAAAAAAATAGCTGTAACTGACTCATTTGTTGGCCTTTGTGGCCTCACTATGGCTAGTTGCCGTTCTAGTTACTGTTCTCACCAATGGTGCTGATTTTCTGTGTGACCAGAAGCGTCTCAGCTCCCACTCTGGCTGCCGCCGCCGCTGCCCCTGTCCCTCCAT